TATATATATATATATATATTTTTTTTTTTTTATAGGGCGAGCATTAAAGAAAAATGGACCAATGAAAGTTCCACCACAACCTTTTAGCATGATGTAGAACTGCACTGCAGTACACCATGTATTCCTCATGGGCTTTATTCGATGTCTTGCTTTACTATTTCTACACTGACAATATACTACATTAACTCGGTTATCACTTGTGGAGTGCATATCTCATCTGAAGGCTTAACTATGAACAAAAAGAAGCATGGTTAAGGTTCCTTGGACTCTTTGACTGATACCATATTGACCGAATAATAAGAAATACATTCCTGTATATGCACCTTCATCCAAAGACCTTCACCAAAAGATTTCTGCCACCGACAATGTTTTGTCAAAATTCACAACACATTTTTTGCATACCTCTGCAAGTGGAGACAGTGGTCACATTTTTTCGAGAAATGTTTCCAACATGACAGCTGTGGAAATATATGCAACTAAAACAACAAGGATGCCTGAATGCGGCCTTAAACCGTTGGCACACTCCTGTGCATAAGATTGTAGGGAATACGTTTGATGTTTTTTTTTTTTTTTTTTTTTAAATCAAGCTTCTGCAATAACCTCATTCAATTTCACAGGCCAGCCAACGGTGCAGCAAGAACATTTTTTATTCAACACACAAGCATCATGTAGCCACATGGTGTGATTGTTGCATTACACTGGAATGTTATCAGATGTACCACATGAACCATCTGTATCTCGTGAGTAGCGTACCGGGACACGTTATAGAACCTATTCAACCATTGCGGCTCTGCCTTTGAAGCTCTGAGCCGTCACACTCCAATTATTGTGTTTCGTTTCGCATTGTCACAACTCTCAAATCTGATATCATGCAATGGGGATGGCGTTTTGCAGCTTTTCATGTAAAGCAGTATCAGGGCGGGGCACTATTTGTGCTGCTGGATTGAACAGTTCAGGTTCGGCGGAATGGTGGAACTGTGTTGATGAGCTTTGTTTCAATCATGATTTTGCTTTGTGGAGCGTCCATATGATACAAAAGTGGATTAGATTTGTTGGATGAGTCTATTTCTGTTGCATTGCATTACCCTTCGTCTTCACCCTCAGATTTGCTGAGAGCTCACCACTCACATTTTTGTCAGCCAAAACATAAATTTGTATTTTTAGAAGAAAACTAAATTGAGCGTTTCTGAAGTGTTGCTTCCCAGCAGTTTGAGTTTGAAAGGTTCCCAGAGGGAATCATGTATACTTCCAGCAACGTTGTTTATTGCAAGGATCCAATTTCCTTGTTAATCCTGAAGTAGTCATAAACCGCCACGTGAGATACTCACATGTGTCAATAGAGGTTAATGAAAAGTGGATTGAAGAAACAAACAACAACCTAATTAATTACATTTTCATCAACCGCTTGAACAGATGTGCTTAAACTTCTGTCTGACTGTCGGGCCTCAAAATCTGAGACGTGTGTCAACCGATCAAACTGCTCAACACCCATTCAGCACACCATGAAACACTTTACCTGAGATGCACCTCTCATCCCAATATCTGATAATTGGTCTGTGGTTAATTACGAAACTAATCTCACAACCACAATATCTGCTGCAGACGCTGCCCACGCACTCGCTCTGTGTAAGCCTTTTGAGGCTTTTTAAAATTAGGCTTTTAATATGGCAGTAAATTATGATTATCTCTGCTGGCCTTATGATGTGTGTTTTATTGTTGTGATGATTTTTTTTTCTTGAACTTCAAAAGTAGGGATGGAAGAAATAATTGATTCTGTGATGCATCGTGATGCAAATGTAAATATTTCCGACTCAATTCATTTCCCATAATCAAATAAGAAATCATGTAATGCTGGTAGATTGAAAAAAAATGGGGGGTAGGGGGAAGCATAGCATATAGTATATAGTATAAATACTGTATGGCAGGGGTCGGGAACCTTTTTGACTAAAAGAGCCATAAAAGCAAAATATTTGGAAATGTATTTCAGTGAGAGCCATATATATATATTAAAATAACTATTTTAAAAGTGAATTCAACAAAATGTCAGTATAATAATCCTCTGAATGTATTCTTTTAAATAATTTTGTGATAATACTCACTTAATGTGAATGGTGTTTCGTTCCTCATGATTGCTAAAAATCCAGCAAAGCTAGCGGAATTATAGTCAACTTGCCAGGTCCATACGCTGAATTGCTGCTGGCTAGCTTGGACCCTGTTCAGTAGCTTGCACGCTTCCTTTCTGCTGTCTCTCGCAGGGTATTTTGATGCGAACGTAGCATGGCGCGTGTCAAAGTGCCGCTTTACATTCGACCGTTTCATCGATGGTATTTTGTCATTGCAAATCAGACACACTGCAGAACCTGTTCTCTCCACAAGGCGAATCCTTTGGTTCATTCGTCCTGAAGTCTTCCATACTCATCATCTTTTTTTTTTCGTTTTGCCATCTTATTCGTTTAGGATTAACTTTGAGCTAATGCCCGAGCGGGTTGATTCAAAAGGGGGCGTTTACCGGTTTCCGCAGCAGCGGCCAACGTAGGCCAGTATTATCCAATCGAAATTGCATTTTGTTTTATCTGCAAGCCAGATGCAATCATCAAAACAGCCATATATGGCTCGTGAGCCATAGGTTCCTGACCCCTGCTGTATGGACACACATTCTCAGCACAGCACTGCTTAGAGCAGGGCAAACATATAATTATGTTATTTCTAAAATGGAGCGAACTAATAGTAATTTAACTGTAACCAGGACTGGGTTTAAAAAAAAAAAAACGATTCATCAATTTGGTTTGAGTTTCCTTTGCATAGCCTGATATCGATTCATAAAACCGTATATGGATATTTTTATGTCATGCGTTTGCAGTGTGTGTTTGTCACTCTATTTACATAGTTTGCCCTGTGGTTGGAATAGATTTAAATTGTTATTTATTTTGAGCAGGCCACGTTCAATAAAACATGCATGATTAATTAACATGCATGATTAATTAGGCTCAATGTCTTCCATATGAAAGTAAAATTGGAACTGCGTGAATTGAAAATCAATCCAAATGAATTGTGAATCAAAGTGAGCCCTTGTGAATCAAATACAATCGATATCCAGACCTTACTGTTGCTGTGTAGCAACTGACTCCGGAACTTTCTATGACGACAGTGAACTTTGTCTGTCCCTGTGGGCAAGGTGACCACATCAGTGACATCACAGTGCCATGTGATCTGTATGCATCTGTGAGCAAAGTGTTCATAAATTTGTGTTGGGTGTTCAGGGGGGGGCTGTGTGGCGGACACTAGGACCATGCTTCTCACCCAGCTTCTCATGCAATTTTTCATTTGGCAATAGAAAAATGTGTTGGCCAATGTTCCATTCTAATTAGGGATCAAATGGCTCACGGTTTTCTGATACCCTATGACTATAGAATTTGAAATGGTTAGGATTACCGTTTAAATCATCGTTGCTGCTATATTTAGCCAAGTGTCTGTGTGTGTGTGTGTGTGTGTGTGTGTGTGTGTGTGTGTGTGTGTGTGTGTGTGTGTGCGCGCGTGCGCGTGTGCGTGTGTGTGTGTGTGTGTGCGTGTGTGTGTTTTCGTGTGCGCGCGCGCAGCCACTTAAAGAAGCAAACGACAAAGTAATGCCCACTTGTTTTGTTCTCTGTGTTCACTTTTTACATGTACACTCAGTGTACTCAGGTCCAGTGGCTCGTGGCTTTGGGCCTGACTACTGGAGGGATCAAAGGCAAACAGGAAGCCAGATAAAAGTGAGCGGTGTGTGCGTGAGTGTGTCTGATAAAGCCACTTGCTAAGCTACTTAGTTGCTTTGAGAAATGAGAAACACCCCACCCCTGCTCCTGCATCTTGGTCCAAACATAACATCTGACACTGATGGCACCTCAAAGCGCTCAGAAGTACGATTTGACTCCCGCAGGCCTAAATAAAATGACTGTTTCATTTTCCCTGGCTCCAGGTACGTGTGGGTATGAATCTCGCTCATATGGGTAAGTGCGAAGCAGGAGCTCCAAGAGTGTCAAAAAAGCAGGGGGAGGATCTGAGAATCTAATAATAGATATTGACTGAGGCAGACAGAGAAACATCATAAACACAAGCTAACAAATCAAAAAGATGGTGATGTGCCAAAACGCCAAGCTGCACTTCTCTCATCTCACAGCGTCTCTAATAAGCTTCCAAAGTCTTGCTTCCTCTTCTCCTCTTCATCATCACCTCCTCCACCTCCTTTTTCATCTTGCAAGCTTCTCCCTCAGTCTTCTTTTGTGTCACGCTGTGGGTCTCACCACCTACTATCTGTGCAGCATGCTGGCATGACTGACAGGTGTCAGCTTAAAGGTCTAGGTTTCCTCTTCGTGTGGTTGAGTGTGCATGTGTGCGTGAATGTAGCTCTTACGTACCAAAATAGAAACAATGACAGATATTAGATCA